GGGCCTCCTCTTGGACGTTAGAGAGATGAAACACTATATACTTATACTTTCAATCATGGTATTCATAGAATTCTGGAAAATAGATTTTGAAATGTTTTCTCCTCCTTTCTGAAAAATAAAAATATGAATATTTTCTCAATATACTTGTAGTGAGGACAAATCAGATGATTTGCCCCAAAATATCACTGCGTTTAAAGAATTTTCCTATTAGAGAGCCTAAATGAAAAATTCACTAGCTTGTCAGTGACAATTAGTATTGGAAAAGGTTTGGAGGAGAGAAATAAAGGTATATCGTAAAAATATCAAATTTTCACTCATCTGTGGACGTTTCGGGAACGAATCTGCTCCCGTTTTCAACATAAAAAATGGGTTTTTGTATGGCAAATTCGTATTCGTCTTGACACTTCTCAGATCTGGCAATCAAATGAGTTACAGGATGTTTTCATTAATTAATCTTGAATTTATCATTTTTATTTTCAGATTTCAGTATTGAATACCACGTTCTATCTATATCAACTGAACAAGAAGCAATTCTATTGTCTCCGTTCAGAAGAATGCAAGCAGATTCTGTATCTGTGTTGGATTTTTCCAACTTGTTGAACACTTTTAGAGAGAATTGATCGCCCTATATATGTCCCTGTGTTAAATAGAATAAAATGGAAACATTTGCACGACAGATTTGACAATTCAAAATTTTGAGAAAAATCTGGAAATCGCATCATCTGTTCGCTAGATAAGACGATTTGAATGTTCTACATGAAAAACAGTTTTTCCAATATTATATCTGTATAAATATTCTCTCGACATTATTTCTCAACAAGTTTTTGTCGGAATTTCCTCAGCTTGTGGAAGATGATTGAAAACAATTGTTTGAATGGCATTTGTTTTCGTATCCTTACATAGACCACCTTGTATGGACCACTTTCTCCAACTTCGATTATTTTCGCGTGTCCAATTTCGAATAACATGAACAGAAACCGGAAATGAATTCCACTTGAAAACGGCTTTCCTCCCCGTTGAACGACTTTGGAATTACCGTTATTTGCAAGCCCAGCATTTTAAATTTCTTTTGATCAGGATTAGCTATCGATTCAGGCTGACTAACAACTTCAATTTGAATGCAACGACTTAGTAGAATACGGATCGAATAGGGTTGACGTTTCCTATTTGGTCATTTGATTGCCACTTATCTTGATGAACCATTTCGGGGAAAATATTCAATGCCCTATGAAGGCTAAGGTGTATTTATATTTAATATGTCTATGGTTTCTCAGTATTTTATTTGTATAGGAATTAGTTTGTGAGATAGACGATATTTTTATTATCATGGAACTTTCGTAATACCTGACAAGTAGGTACAAAGTAGGTACTCGCTAAAACAATATTGGATGGATTTTATCCGGGTAGATCGACAGAAAGTGCAACAACTAATTTCATGGAATTTCTCCATAGCCAGCTGGATGAAGGGAAGTATGTTGCTGCACTTTTTTTCGATCTATCTGAAGCGTTTGACGCTATTGACCTCAATATTCTACAGGAAAAACTTCATGTTTTGGGCATAAGAGGAGTATTTTTGTCTTGGATAATATCATATATCCGATATAGGAAAATAATTGTTCAGATAGAACAAACTACATCTCAAATTTTTGATGTCGACCTTGGTGTCCCACAAGGGTCGGTTTTAGGACCCTTGATATTTTCACTTTTCATCAATGATATTTCAAAATTCATTGATGCGGGTTGTTCAGTACTATTTGCCGATGACACATCTATCGCGGAGGCAGCAGACAGTACCGTGGAACTCGAAAATGAAATAAATTCAACTGCCAACAGGTTTGTTACTTGGTGTCATAATAACAGGCTGATGATTAATGCCGAAGAGACAGTACTTATTGAGTTTTATGGAAGAAAGATAGGGCCAACACTTGAAGTTTTTGTTAACGATACGCGTATCACTTCTTCTGAATCTACCAAATTTTTAGGAACATTTGTCGATAATATTATCAGCTGGAAAACGCATGTGAACTCAGTCTGTAAAAAACTGAGCTCAAACTTCTATGCAATGTTTCAATTGAAAAATATACTTGACAAAAATGCCCTGATACATTCTATTATATCTTACAACATCATTTTATGGGGAAGTAGCACCCACATTGACAGAGTATTCATAGCTTAAAAGCGTGTTATACGACTTATATTCAATTTAAAACGAACCGATTCATGTAGACCCAAATTCAAGGAGTTCGAAATACTTACAACACCATGTATCTACATATATCACTGTGTTGTATATATAAAAAAATGCAAAGTAAGTTACAAACAAACTCTCAGTTCCACAGATATCCAACAAAAAGTGGTGACTTGCTCAGAACAAAAAAACACAGAACAACGTTATTCGAAAAATCACCTTCATTTTCTGGTATAAGGTATTTCAACTGTCTGCCTACCGAAATTAAAACAATAACTTCACTCCACCTCTTCAAAAGAAGAGTCAATACATTACTAGCCTCTGAGGGTTTTTATTCAACCGATGAATTCCTCAATTATAAATTTTAAAATGTTTTTATTGTTTGTGATCTTGTGTTATATAATGTTCCCACTTTATTCCTTTCTTCAATGTTTTTTTACATATTATCTACAAAAGTGAACGTTTCATATGTGTTATATATTGTATTTTGTATTGGTACCTATATAAATTTTTATGACATAACCTATATCATTGTGAAGTGATCTATTTGGGATGAATAAAATATTGTATTGTATTGTATTGTCATCGTTCAATTACAAAATACGCAACCATAGAGAAATTCCGAATCATTAACAAGTGTATAAACTTCACACACGACGTGTTTCGCTAACACAGTAGCTTCCTCAGGTGATATACTGGTACAAAGAAATCGAACTTGACATCTTATCGTTTGTGAAGTTTACATCTGCCATGGATTTCCATCAAGTAACTGCCGAGACAATTCAAAAAATCATTAACAAGTAACCAGTCGAAGGAAGAATGGTTACTGTCTGGATTTCTCTGATATTCCACCTGATTAGAAAGAAGATTTCCCAATCGCTCTATTGAATTGTTTATTCGAATCGCATCAGATCTCCGTTGCTACTAGAATCTTCATGGAAAATGGGGATGTTCAATCTCCTGAATGATTAGATCACTAGTTTGACACCATACTTGGAAATTGTGGAATTCTTTTTCGTGAGATGGACGAGATTACTTGAGCACTACATCATCATTTAACTCGTCGTCGGCTTGCCAGAAAATAGTGCCTTATAAAACTTGTATAATTATATACTATTGAGTTGAGTTGGGGATACTCAACGAAGTATCAGAAACGGTGAATAATGCTAAAAGGTGAGTAACTTACTAACTTACCAGACAGTGAACAAAGCTCACTATCAGGGAATATAGATTATATGGATAATCGATAATATAGTGAGTTTCTTAAAAAAAAGTAGCACACTTTCACTGTAGATCTCTATTTACAAAAATAAGTAAGATATTTTGTGAGGACAACGAAAATAGGACACCCTGTTTATTGATATAAATGCCATCTTCTAATGAGAGATAAAACAAAAAACCATACTATGTAACAATCAGGCATAGTTAATAGCGATTTCTCGTATTTCTCCATTATCTTCAGATTCTTCATTTTTCTTGAACTGGTGGGATCCTACAAGGTATTAATTATCCTGAATACTGTTGGAGAATCATGTGGATTTGTTTATGGAAAAACCCTGGATACTTGATTAAAATTAATGAAAGGCTTGTAGGAAGATTTTCCGGTAAATGAGTGTTTTCCTGGGAATATTTTCTTTTGCTCGCCTCTAATGAAACTACTACAAAGGCGGCGATTTCTTTCCATAGAGATGAATTGATGTTTCTGCGAATTTTCCTCAGGGAGAAATAAATACAGATTTAAATTGAAATGGATTGCATCATAACTTGAAGGGAAACTATGGCATAGTTCCTCTAGGGTATTCTAATGAGAATCCTTCGCTGTTGAAATTGAAAAATTTTTGTTTCCTTATTCAATCACAACAAGAACATTTAATAGGTGCTTTTCCCTCAGTGTATTACGGAGCCTCAAATTCCTCCTCAACATAATACATTTTTGGCGAAATCAGTTTGAGTTATCATCTCGTTATATTTCACCATATTGCTATGGAGATAAATCGCTATTACAATAGCTAGATAGTAATGACTAGTGACAGCCTAATCCCTGACAATTTCCATTCCAATTTTATATTGAAAAGATGAAAAATGAATGTTTGTGCAAAATCCCATAACTCGGTTTGGATATTCCATTCGTCGGATTTACAGATAAATGCATTGTGCTCGGTTCATACTCAATATTGAAAATACCCGGAAAACTGATGTTCTATTCCAATGAAATTGCACCCAAATTGCAGCTTGTGTCATGAAATATAATATGGATAGATCTGCTCAAATTTTATTTTTTATAATGGTATCGTGTGATATTATCTCTGGCAACTGAGCATCTGATGGAATAAAAACACAATGATAAATCGGACGAGACTGATATTAATTAATTTTTTCCTTTCAAGAGCATCAAATTTCATAAAAATCAAATGGGATGAGCTGAATTTATAGATATCCGGAATATTGAAATGAATAATGAGCTAATTTCTAGCAGATAAAGCTATATTCAGGCAAGATGGATTAACAATAGAGCTTCAGGTTAAAATGAAAGGAGAAAGAAGATGAATCTCTTTGATTTTGACTAGAAACTGCCCTCCACTGATGAGAGTCAAAGAGCTCGAAACTGGTCTGTAGGAGTCTAGCGTGGCCTGGCTAAACCGAAATCAATAGACATTCAGGGAAGAATCACTTGTATCAGTATTCGATTATACGAATCAATGCATAAATTTCGGGAGGATGTAATTAAATTTTAAATGACTTTGAGCATTTTGTATTTAATCAACATTTCATTCCACTTTGAGCATTATTTGAGCAAAAACCTTTGTTTCAGATGTTGCCAAGAATGTGCGAAGACTGAAGGAGAGCCTTGCGGAGGAGATTTAGGCTTCAGTGGGACCTGTGAACCTGGCTTAACCTGTCAACAACCAGGACCATCCCCCAGCGAAGGAATATGCAGACCAATCATTTTCGACAATCACGAAGATACGTGAAAACTGCTACTGCATCTTTTGTTTATTTGTGAGTATCCTGATAACACTATACGGAGTGGGGTGATAGTGATCGAGTTCTATGATAGCTAGATACATGAATCAATAATGAATGTTAGCTAGATCATGGGATCTGAGACAAAAAATCATTGCCGCATTCATATACAAGGCTCACAATATAGAGTCAATATAGAGTCACAACTCATTTTTGGAATCAAACACTATTCTAAAACGACACATCTCACAATAGTATAAAAGTATCAGACTTGCTTTATGAAATTTAGCACATTATAATGAAAACTATAAGGTAAAACATAAAACCAGATCATTTTTCTGTCAAGTAAATCAAATCAGATATTGGTAAAGAATCCTTCTATCACAATGGAATTTTAGAAACATCTACTCCTGTAATATTGACATCTCATCTTATTTTCATAGTTTTCTTGTACAATCACTATAGTTTTCCATTGGGTACCTAAATGCTGAGTCAATTAAGAATCATTTTCAGTTGAACCTAAAGAGAAGAGATTTCTTCTTCAGTGTGTCTTATTTTACTGCCTTCCTTATTTTGTCGAATATGTTTATTTATCCACCTTGTTTCCTGCTATAAACAAATGTTGTTTCTTGAGAATAATAAATTGATTCATGAAGCAAAACTACTTCATGATAGACTATTCGAAATAATGCAAAGCTCAAAATGATCCTTCTGTGCGAATTATTTGTTCAAGGAAATTTTTCATGAAAATTAGAAAACAATATTGCACGGTACATGTTAGGAAAAGCATTATGTGCAACTCTGTGTTATGCGCAAAATCCCGTCCATAAATATCTATTTTCGATGTATTCAACCAATAGTCAGTATTATTCTTTCAACATAACATGGTTTTGGTAATTAAGCTGACTTAGATATTGAATATCTGATGATCAGATAGTTTCTATCGAATGCGAGTGAATGGAAACGAATAACCTTATTACTTCGTATTCACCGATTTGAGAAATCTATACCTGATAAAATTATTTTTATTGATTTCTCTGGAGAGAACAACCCAATACACTCGCTTCTTATCGCATGAAATTTACATTACGTAATGGGATTCATGGAAACTCACTTTTTCGATGAAATTCTATAGTGACTTGCAAGCGATCGAGGAAATTGAGATTGAAGAAAATGTTTCACATTTGGAGAATTTGATCTCGGGAGGCATTTTGTATCGACATCATTTCCGGATTCATTGCTACAGAATAATACACATGTTGGATGCCTTGTCTGGGGATTTTCTCAGGAAACTTTGATCTATTCAATCTGATATTTTTTTTTCATGTTTTCATGTGATGATTTCAAATCTTCCAAACAAAGTGTTTCGTTGCACACAGCTGGAATGATTCTCCGAGGTGAAGTTGAGGAATTGGATTCATACTTAGGAATCCTGTGTTGTCCAGATATCACCTATGAATCGTCTTGAACTGAAATTTAGAAAAACAAGTGAGATAACTATTGAGTGATTGTCTTTATTACCCCAAGACTCAGTGGAAATAAATACTCACATACTTTTTCTTGAGATGGAAGTTAGACTTGAATGTGTTTGCTATCGAGTAATTCATTTGTCTTGTCCCATGACTATGGACTATATTAAACTCATCGAAACCTTGTAGGTACTGCCTATGGAATTTTTTCATTCTCAGCAATTCACTAGGATCTTTTTTACACAATGGAGAAGACCAAAAGTCTTTCAATGTTCAATCAACATCATTAGTTAAAGTTTAAGGGAAGAAAATCAATATCGTTTTGAAATCAGCATATTTCATTCGATGTTTCAAAAAGCTAGATATGAAGCTGAAGCCGTGACCTATTAGTCCCGAATCTAGCTATCTCTGTCCTGATACCTTGGGAATCTGCAGTGTTTGCAATAAATCTAAATTATATTTACTTCTAGTTTTTACAAATTTGAGCTCAAGATGATATCGTTTTGAAAAATCAGTGGTCTCCCCAATTCTGTATCCTCGAAAGAAAAATTTGGGTTCTACTTGCACTAACTTGTTCAGCAAATTGTTGAAAAAAAATCATGGAATGTAAGTAATAGTTGTTTGTCATCCTAGTTTGACGATGGTCATTATTCTGAAGATCACTTGACTAGAAGGAGAATACGATATAATAATATAATGTATATGATCTATACATAACTCTGTCAGGAGTTTTTATGAGTAGAAAGTTGTGAGCAATCGATTTTTATGAAGTTTGAATGAAAAAAAGAGATAATTTCGTAGATTGTTTTTACTCCGCTTGTATTGAAAATCAACTACATCAGAAGCTTCTAGGGTTTCATGGAACATATCTTAGGTTACAAAGGTGAATGATGATATATTATACTGTTTTCAATGCGATATACCTGAGCCCGCGTATCGTCAAAGTTGAATTCATCATACTATTATTTCATGAAACAGCATTTCGGAAAACAGTATGATAAACTCGATCAATTGAAGCTTTGATGTTCGTATATAGGTACTTATTCACGTGAATATAATAGACTTCATTGATTTGGAAAACATAGTGAATACACTACGAGATTCCAGTGAACCTTGCTATACGTGGAAACTTCACAAGTAATAGGGTGTTTACTTGCCGAAACAAATTGTGAATGTTCCTCACTAAAGTAATAACGAGCGTCCCTAATTATTTCACTGGTGGAAAATGAGGCAAACAACGATTATTGAGATGAATTGGGCATGTGAGTTGGTGTATGTGAAAGCAATCAGGAAACGTTGAAAACTCCCCTTTCAATTTGAAGACAGTATCTTCAACAATTTAGAGGTTAGTACATCAGGGACCAATTAAGAGCTCTAATCACCAACATATAAACATATAATTACCTTGGAAACAGAGCGGAGGTTTCTTGCAGAGACAACTCGAACAAGTCGACGCCCCAACCGTTAATTAAGAACAAGATGGGGGTTGTTTGTATTTTGTAGACGGTGGCGTGAACAGGGTGAATTATGTTTGTATGTTATTAGAAGATCACTGAAGGAGTTATATGAGAATCAAACAACTCCTCGGCTCCTGGTGATATAGACGGTTTTCCTGTTCAGCATAGATGAAGAACAAAGCTCTTTGTCTCAATAGCCTCAGCCTTTCCAATATTTGGATTGTTTGAAGTGAGACACGTGATGAATATCTGCTCATTGGCCTTAGAAGCACCCAAGTCACGTGTGTTCAGCTAGGGAAATCCAAAAATTTGAAAATATCACAGTGTAATGAGCGTGAAGACTCAACCAAAATTAATACGAGACCGAATGCGCTTAGGAAGTAGAATGTTGTTTCAAATTATGAGAGTGAACCCTATTTCATGGAATCGGAATATTTTCTCCTAGAATTCACGAGGCATTTCCATAGAATTTCATATTTAGAGATATTATTACGTTGAGAATCTGAATATTGTTCTGAATACGCAAATAGGGAAAAGTTCATTATTAGGTGTTTGACGAAACGTAGAAAACAGATCAGAACAACATAAGGAGAGTACAGAAAAATCGTTAACGAAGTGAGCCCAAATTTCAAGGTCAAAGTGATCATCAGCAAATGCGTCAAATATCAAGTTAATGACTAATGATTAATGAGGAAAATCAATTAGTTCGAGATCATTCGAACAACTGCCCGAGTTAGTTGTACAGTATACCATAAATTGGAGATAGAAAATGAAAGGAAGAGTGAACAGTTCTCTATATATTCCGGCCTGTGAACCTTTTTGAGGGCAAAGACCTATTCAGACGAGATTGAATGAATGAAGGTTGAAAAAAGGTGAATTCAGGGCTAGGTAGAAAACTAATCATGAGTCATAAGGCACAGTCCATTCATACGTTCCACTCTCTACCTAACCTGCTTTGTATGCTGAAAATAAATGAAAGGATTTTCTCCAACAAAACACTCGAGAGGAAATGGCAGACAAAAGCCTCCATATTTTCAGCAAGGCAAAAACACTTATGAAATTGTATACTCCACCTGAGGAAAGGTCTTTTCATTCCGAGCTTATTGCGGGTTCTCGTCATACTGTAGGTAGTTAAATATTATAAAAGTTTAAATTGATATTCTTTATGAAGTTTGCTAGTTGACGCGACTGTGTGTTATAAGGCAGGGCCGTAACTAGAGCGAAGGGAGCACGGAACAAATAGTTTATTTCTAGCGTAGTTTCCTCATTACGGCTCTGATGCTCTTGTACAATGCAATACCTTGAATGCACCCAACTCCCAAACTAGCTGCAAATTTACAATAATGGACTTCCATAATTGAAAAAGTTATCTGGGGAGTATAATACCGGGTAGTGATGCATTATGCTATTCCATCAAATTTCATATTGATGTTCACGGAATACAGAGTGTAGTAGAGTGAAAAGAACAATAGAGGCATTGAGAGCACTTGGAAGTTAGGTCTAATCCATCATCCTTCATGATCGAGTTTATCAATATTAACTCGTTGAACTTCTAGGCAATTCAAAGTTATGATTTTGAGTAAAAGAAGTTTGCATGATCAAGTGGATAATGTTCAATCATATTCGCTATACCTACCTCATTATCATATAATTCAACTAAATCGTCCGACATGCACACAAACATCCATTTGCATTCATAAACATTTGAATACGAATGTATTCACGTGATGCCTCTACTGACTGTATCAGAGCCGAAAGCACGTTCATCTAGATATACTGGATTGTCAATTACCATTATGCCTGAGAACGTCACAGAGCTAGGGCGATGACGTGCTGTTTCACAATAGGAAAGTTTTTAGTCTATCCCTGTTCGTGCCACACACAAAGGGTTCGATTTGTAGAGGAGGAGGATGGGAGCAGGTGAGAAAGTGTGTATGTGTTGAGTTAGTGGATAAATGATCTACTAAGACTGGAGATTAATAATGGGAGCTCCGTTGAATATTCGCGCAACAGATTCAGAGTGCTAAACGAGTAAAACGACCGATATGCAGATATACAGATTTCCAAAGCACCATTTCCATCACACTAGTGCGATGAAGCCTCTCAAAGTTGCGCAATCTTATTTTTAATAAAATGCTCAACTATTGAGTTTGAGACAAAATGTATAAAATAACTTTCGACTTGGAATTGTTCAAGGAATATACCCTTAAGCTATGGCCATCGAGTCACGAGACACCTATTTAAGACAAAACTAAAAATTCATCTACTGTTGAACCTGAAGAAGAATGTGCTTTTCACCTATCATACTTGGGGAGATATTTATGGAACAGGAAACCTCTCGGCCATCGAACGAGCGATGGAACAAATATTCAATTAAACGGGAATTGTTTTCAGAATCAAATTGAAAATTTGTTTTGACAATTTATCCCTAAAAACTCGATGGCATCACAAAGAGAGAGGAATATAATTGTATGAAACATGCACGCTATGCACCCTACGGCATTCACATAAACAGGATGTCTCTGAAAAGTCCAGACCTCTCCAAAATCTGTATTGAACACAAATGAATATACAATTTTTCAAATATCTCGAAATTTTGAGAATTTTTCATTGAGAACCTCACTTTTTTTATACACTCTGTAGTACCTTGCATAAAAACAGATTTATCTAGGCGATTATGTACTTTGTCCACCTCTGTTGCCTTGAAAATAAACTATCAATAATTTTACATCAGAAAACTGTCCAAAGAAAAGGATCATTATCTGGAATTCTATTGCTACTATTGAAGAGCGATATGGCTATTCATGAATAAATCTTTTCCATCAATCTTAGTCAACGGTCCAGAATAAATTGCATCCATTTCAGCATTGTTTGGCGAAATGGACGGCAGCAGATTCTCCTGTGACTTCAACGTATAGATCGAAAAACTGCGTTTGCTAAATTGTCACTTACAGATATGAGGCAATGAGGGTGAATCTGATTTAATATTCTCAAATTCACTGCTAGTCTGGAAGCGATTTTAATTTCAGAGACAAACAAGATAGTTTTCGCTCAGATACTGGGAATTATATGAGATTCATGCCAAAAATGTATCATCTTCTATTATTCTACCTAAATGCTAGAGCTGTTTATACAAGCATCAAGAGAATTCATTGCCAACCACTTGATACACAGATGCACAGATGAACGATAATGGATTGTTAGACTTGATAGTACAAATTACACAAAACCGTAGTTGCTCCTCGGAACTTTAAAGAAAATGAGGATAATCACTAACTTGACTGACTTGAATATATTGATAATTGAAATCAGAAATGGAATTATATCTATTAAAATAATCAGTCCCCGAATTTCACTATTAAAAACTATACAAATAAAGATTCACAATGGTGAAAAATATAGTTTTGCATTCATACGATTTTTAGAAGCCATTTCAAGGGAATAGTGCAGTTATTAGAGCAGTCATTGCTGAATTTCTATCTGTCTGTTGTCCAAATGCATGAAAGAGCAAATTCATATATATTTGTTTTCTGATGATAATAATGATGATAAATAAATTGCTTTTATTGATAGTAAGTATAAATAACAAGTACAAGGAGTAGATTTACGAATAACTTTGATGCTCACTATGAAATGGCAGAGTTAGCGTTTACCCATTTGTGAAATGGGTAAATACTTTGTTACACTCAACCAGATGTGATGTTGTTCAGTTCAACAGATCTGTTATATATACACACTTGAAAAACAATTCATTTGAGCCAAGTGAATGAAATCGTATGATTTCCAATTGTTAATATTGACATCTTCTTTCCATAATACCGTAATTTCTGACCAAGAAATGAATTCACATGATCGAACAAATATATTGAGGTACACCGAAGATGTCGAATTACTTGAATTTGAAAATATACTCGATGAAAATGAAAGGAATGTTATCTCAACGAGGATGAGATGGTGTTGATGTATTCTCGTAACTATTTTCCCAAGAGAATAACTGGAAGATTACGGAATATGTTCATCTGAAACTATCGAGTTCATCCTACATAGCTTACTCGATTTTTTGCAGTTAGAGACAGTCGTTGCTGCTGTGACTTCAGTAATAATGACTGTACGATCAACTAATAATGTGAAATGTCATCGCTATGTATGAAACAGCCTGTGAAATACACGCAAATTCAAAAGTCTAACCTTAAATGGTCTTCATTGTTCCAATCGACTGTTCTCCTCATTGATGAGATTCAGATCTATTATAGTTTATCATTTCCATAATAAATATAGTTGAAATGAGTTGTTTAATGGAATTTGAAGATTCCAAATCAGATTTATCAATTTTCCAATATATTTCTCCTTTTGAACGATATATTCCTGAACTTTCATCGTTGATTTGCTATTCTACTTGCGCATAATGGCTATTCCTCATTCAGATGATTGCAGTACGAGCCGAAGGCTGAGTGATAGCCATCATTGTATGCTCGTTGAATAATATACTAATATTTTGTTTCCTTCGATTTTCAGATTTGAAAGCTGCGCAATGTGGACCTGAACGACGACACTACCAGTAAAGTGAAAGGGCATAGAAGACATAATCAACAAAACGTGAATGCTGTACAAGAACATGAAAGTGCAAAGTGCTATATCGAATATTATTCCCGACTCTCCAACCAAAAACACTCTTTTCCAGCCTCTTTCGGCTTTATCATCCTAGTTTAAGCGCTATTTGTGACTGCTATCCAAGTTTAATGTGTAAATTTGTGACAATACTACTAGGGAATAAACGAACATTTGAATTATATTGTATGATATGACATGTAGCCAGGTTCTGTTCGAGATGTAATCAATAAAATGGTTTTATTTATTTAAACGGAGAGTGTATATTTCCTCTAGAGAATCGTGGCTATATCCAAAGCACATTTATATAACCCCCAATTAGTTTGAACGGTTCGATTATGACATTAATTTCGAATGTTGAATAAATGACCAACTTTGGAAACCAAACAGGATATAAATGGAAATGCAAATGCTATTAGTACGTATTGTTTCAGTAGATAACTTGAATTCACCTACCTCAAAAACTATTGGGTTAACCAATTAATACAATATTGATAAAAAATGTATACTTTTTCAATTCTTTGATAACTTGTAACTTCAGGTATTTATGACTGTAAGTAACAATTTCCTCAATGATCTATTGCCCAACAAATGGACAATGAATGGGGCTGGAGAGATGCAGTCTGGAATGTTATGCTTATTCTCTACTTTATAAGCATAATACAATAAAAACAACTTTTCTGAAAAATGATCAGGAAATCAGCTATTGCACATGTGCAGAATATGTCTTTCGAGTATTTGAAATGTGAATAGAATCTTTGATCTCGAAAACAGTAGACTGTGAATGTACTAGTTGAAACAATTGAAATATCTCTGCCTTCGTAATGTTTTCCAATCAGTAAGAGTAGTGTATCACAGTTTTCATACCATGCAAGAGATTGTGAATTATTGCACGATCGAATGACTATAGTTTCTCGAATGATTTTCAGTAGATGAGCTATGGGTGTTCTGAATCAGATTAAATTTTTGATGAAGGTCAATATATCCATGTTTTGATGGTATTGAAATATATAAAAAAAATTATGAGATATCTCAAAGTTGAAGGAATTACTCTGGGAGTGCAATTCTCAGATGAATGTACTAGTTCCATTATCTAATCCAAACTAAGGTTTCGTCCCGAGAAGAGTTTCTGCAATAAAGCCCATTGCCGACTAACTTCCGACAGTTACAGTAGGAATACTCTCAGACTATGTGAATCAACAAAATTTCACTCATGCTGTTAAAGTGCAATGTTTGTGATAATTACCCTCAACACAAAAGAGGCTTTATATGCAGAATTCACGGAATTAGGAAGCTCAACAAGAATTTCACATGGTGGAATTGTGAATAGTTGGCGAGACTAGACTATTTTTCATGCAAAAAAGCATCATCTTGTATATAGGGTGATTCGCGAGCCATTGTACATACTCATGGTGTAGATAGGAAGGAATCGATATTCAAATTGGTCAATTTGACGTAATTACCCAGACAGAGGGTCATCTTACCTATTCAGCCATAATGAATTCACCTTGTATCTCCACAATCGTTTGATCAATTTTCCTAAAATGTTATACACTCAGTCTACTTATTGAAGTTGACTTTTTGGAATACTGAATGTATCAGGCCCGGACTTGGAGAATTTAAATCGAAGGTCTCTCACGAAAAAAACACTATAAATTGGAATCTACGAACATTTGGCTTCAAAATGAAATACTGCTTTTCGACAAGCATACCATGAATTAAATTTCACTTGAAAATGAAAAGAAAGAACAGAAATGAAATATCACAATCAATTTTAGAAATGTTATTCTCGATTTATTTCTCCATGACAGAGGTTTGTTTTATCTACACCATAAGTATTTCAGTGGCTCGTGAATCACCCTGTATAGAAACATTGTTTTCAATCCACTTTGAAATAATCAGAGAGAAACTGGATCAGAGGAATCTGTAGTGGAACCCTCCAAAACAACCTCCAGAATTTCCTAGAAAATTGCTGCTCTCACTATACAATGTTTCTCCATAGAATGTCAATGTTTTGATTTTCTACCCAATTTTTCGTCAACGGGATTCTAAAGATACTGTACAGCCAAATTCAGTGATACTTTGTGAGATAAATTTTTATCAAATTGAGTATTGGAGAAAAAATATCCTTTTGCCCTACCGAAATAAAACTTGGCTTTGAGAATTGGCCCATTTTCAGAGTTGGCCTTCTGATTCTGAAGATTTTTTCGAAATGTTGATCCATGATGCTGTGATTGAAATTTTCTATTCAACGATTTTTATCCTATGAAACTTGTTCAAAAAACTCTCGTTTCGTCAAGTTAGTAACAGTTTGTAACACTTTTTCTTTGGAATACCTAGTATAAGTTGATAGTCAGTTTGTTCTGTTTTACATAGTTACATGAATGTACGTGGCGCATCAATAACTGACAAAAACAAGTTATAGAGGTTTCAGAGAACGTTTCCAAATTACGTCTACTAGGATCCTAGTCCACTTCGAATCAATCCCACTCCTGATTGATTTTCAGTCGTAACAATCTCGGACTTTATGGCGCAACTTACGCCATCGTGCTATATCTCCGATGAAACTCACAACAATGTATGTATATTGCGCGGCACGTATTCCGAATCCTGCTACACTGCCATATTGTTCCGCCAACTATATAATGAATCATTCCTTGATGGTGGATACTTTGTAAAGAGCCCATTGTTTCGAGGCTGCTTATTCCACTTGTATTCGTTAGTAATGAGCATGAAATGATTCCCCTTCTGAATGCTTGATGAATACTATACAGAGGGCTTTCGAATAGCAAGAAGCTACTTTTCGTTTGTGGATTCATTGAAGAAACAAATTGAGGTTTTAGGCAAATGATTGCGAGTGTTACTCATTTCAGGCATCTCATGATGTCAAAGGAGGGGTTCAACCACCATCTCCACCTGACTTCATCATAGACGAAGTGAACCTTTACGAACCTCAGGATAGCAGTTGCATGAGATGAAAGAGTATTCACCCCAAGCAAAGACAAGTATACGAGTCAAGTTGTTTAATCGAGGTATTTCTCACCCACATTCAGTTATTCGTTTATTTCATTTATCAGTTGATTTATCCAAGGTTTTTCAGGACACTATCGTGAACACTGATCTCGTTATTGTGCCCTTGACATTTTCTCCTCGCTTACATTTCTTAAATGATTCTGCTCTAGAGCAAGATTAATCATCCCATTCAAGACTCCCATCTGCACCTATTGTCCCTTCTGAATAATTTCGGAATAAGGAAAGTTTCCTTCGTTTTGCCTAAGGAATCTTATCTGATATTCTTCAACTGTTTTATCAATATGATGGTGGAAGTTCTTTGAGGAAACGTTTTATTTTCCAGTTATATTTCAGTCTTGCTATTGTTGCCAAGCAATGCTTATCACAGAATGTAGCGGGGTGTTATGAGTGTGAAGGCGTAGTGAAACCAACTCGTTCGGCTATCAGCCAAAACTTCAGTATCATCATCATCACTATGACTCTGGGAGAGCTTTGTTTTTAGATCAATGAACTCTGAATTTGCACTATTTCCAAGGCATTTGGAGAAAGGCGCCTCAATACAGCATGAGAGAGGCTAGTTTCTTGAGCTTGGTAAATTGTCAATGGGCCTTCCCAGTCATTTCTAGAAAAAATATATCTTGAAATATATTACTAAAAATAATTTTTCCACATTTTTTTCCATTAATTCATCGTATAAAAAATTATTGGAAACGCCAAAATGAACGAGCGAATTCAAACGAGTGATTTGGATTGGTAATGCCCTCACTTTCTCGCAGGTGCGAATAAAATGCACGATGGACTTGACAATGTTGCCAATTTGGACAGAAAGTTATGATTAGTCGGATATTCCTAACTCGACTTTTTCATTCCAGCAAATAATACAGATATGCTGTCAGATAACTCAACTGATAACTGCTCACCTGATGATTCGTAGTTTTGAGAATTTACATTGCATAATCAGTGAGTCGGTTGATTTCTGTTGGAGGATTATTCAAAATTGTGAGTGAAATTTCATTTTGTATTGATAATCACAGTGAAGATAATCATGACATTCAGTTTCAATACCTATTATGTACCTACTTATATATATCTATCTACTATGGGGAAAGAAACAAATAAAAAAAAAAAAAAAAAAAAAAAAAATCATTTATTGTCCAAACAGGAATATACCCACTTAGAGGACAGATTCAAAAAAATATATACAATGTTTGTTACAATAATGTTACAATATAACATGAGTAATGCGATCGCGATTTCATTTAAGGTGCCAAGAAGTAAATAGAGTTGAAGTATAGATGGTGAAATACTTATATTTAAAATATCATTGACAATATTGTTAAGATTTGTGATAGATCGGGTTAACTAGAATCGTATGTACTGATATAGGTAAACAAAATTGTGTTTGAATCCATTCGAAATTAATCTTGATTGTTCAGTAGTATACATTTGAGTTGATTTTTAAATTGGCTTAAGGAATGCGAATACAATTGTGTCGTGCTACAATATTTGTTGAATTCATTACACATAGAGTATATTGGTGAATTGGCCGATACATTAGTTCTAGGTGTATTGAGGTAAAAACATATCTGATTTCTAGCATTATGTCTTGGTACATGAAAATTCAGTTGGGATAATAATTCAGGACAATCAACCAGGTTATTGACTAGTTTGTACAAAAAAATGCATGAGTAATATGTTCTACGGCTTTCTAGAGATAGGAAATTGAAACGTTTCAGTAGAGCATAGTTGTCAAAGCCTTGATTAGGATATACTCCATCTAGTTTCCATGACATATACTTCATAATGATTCTTTGGACCGACTCTATCTGATGAATATGTGTGTTGTAGTATGGTGACCAGATTAAAGAACCATATTCAAGTTTTGACCTAACATAAGCCACATATAGTGCTTCGAAGCATTTGATGTTAGTGAAATCTTTACAGCTCCTGAATATGAATCCTAGCATTTTTTTGGCAGATGCTGTTGTTTTGTTAATGTGATACGAAAAATTAAGTTTGTCGTTAAAGTAAACTCCTAGATCCCTGATGTTGTCCTCCTGCTGGAGGGGAATATTGTTTATGGTGTAATCGAAGTATATAATATTATTTTTTAGCGTAATTGTTATATATTTACATTTTTGTACATTCAGTGGTAATTTGTTTGTCTCACACCATTCATTCAGTCTATTCAAGTCCTGTTGAAGTAGTTCACAATCATTTGAGGTTTTGATTGATCTATA